TAATATAATAAATTATACATAATTATTTTTATTAACGAATTTATTTTTTCTTTTTTTAGTATTTTTTAATATATATTAGTGAAATATTTTTATATTAAATGATTTTTTTTTAAATATATATTAACAAAATATAAATTCTTTAAATATTTTATTAACAAAATAGAACGAAATATATTTTTCTATTTTTTTACTTTTGTATTTTTTTTTTTCTATTTATTATTATTATTATTGCATTTTTTTTCTGATGTGTTTTTATTATTTATTTTTGTATTATTTTTATTTTTATTTATCTATGTGTAGTTGTGTACTTGGAGAGAAGGATGACACATCACACCACGTATATAACACATAGGAAATTAAGGAAAGTTATAATGTCACGTCACTACCTAATTCAGCCACATCAGCTTTTTTGTTCAGGTGGGGTGATTAATGTATCGTTTCTGACCAAATCGCTAACTACATGTTTCTTTTCCATGAGAGACAACAAAATGTCTCTTTTGTTGACAATGCCCAACTTGGTGTATTATTTTTGAAATTTTGCCGGTGAACGCTTAACAAAATACATGAATCATATTAATGTTAATAACATGAGCATTATTAATGGTGAATGCTTGACAAAATACACCCAAACTTACCAAGATACTCGAGTACGGAATAGGAGTAATTCACGCTATAAATCTCATATTCAAAATCTGTGTCATTATAGTGTTCTCTCATAAATCAAGAAGACTCGCATCTACATTAATATTCCAAAATTTTTGTGTATACCAAGTTTTTCGGATATGTTGATTAATTTTTCTATTTTGTCACTAATAAGTATTTTACATGGGTTTTTTTTAATACATAAGCTTTTGTTTCGAAACATGATTATTGCGATGAAAATATGATATCCATATTGAATGTTGGTGTTGTGTTCGAAACTAAGTTTTTTCGGAGACGTTGATTAATGTTTCTATTTTGGTCTTTAATTACTATATTTCATGGATTTTTTTAATACATAAACCTTTGTCTCGAAACATTATTATTGCGATGAAAATATGTTATCCAAATTGAATGTTAATGTTGTGTTGAAAAATAAGTTTTTTCGTGGATGCTGATTAATTTTTCTATTTTGGTCTCTAATTACTATTCTCCAAGGGTTTTTAATACATAAACTTTTCTTTCGAAACTTGATTTTTGCGATGAAAAAACGTTATCCACATCGAATGTTGGTGTTGTATTCGAAACCAAGTTTTTCAAAAACGTTGAGTAATTTTTCTATTTTGGTATGTAATTACTATCTTCTATAGCTTTTTTCAATACATAAATTTTTGTGTCGAAACATGGTTATTGCGATGAAAATATGTTATCCACATTGAATGTTGGTGTTGTGTTGGAAACCAAGTTTGTTTTGGAGACGTTGATTTATATTTCTATTTTCCTCACTAATTACTATTTTACATGAGTTTTTTTAATGCTTAAAATTTTGTTTCGAAACATGATTTTTGCGATGAATATATGTTATCACTTCAAATATTGGTGTTATGTTCGAAACCAAGTTTTTTGGGAGACGTTGATTAATTTTTCTATTTTGGTCTCTATTTACTATTTTCTATAGTTTTTTACTTTTTAACACTTAAACCTTTGTTTCAAAACATGCATTATTTTTGCAATAAAAATATGTTATCCACATCAAATGTTGGTGTTGTGTTTGAAATTAAGTTTTTTCGGAGACGTTGATTAATTTTTCTATTTTGGTCTCTAATTACTTTTTTACATGGCTTTATAATGCATAAACTTTTAGTTCGCGACGTGATTTTTGCTATGAAAATACTTTATCCACATCAAAAATTGGTGTTGTGTTCGAAACCGAGTTTTTTTCAAAGACTTTGATTAATTTCTTTTTTTGTCTCTTATTATAATTTTCCATGTCTTTTTTCAACACTTAAACTTTTGTTTCGAAACATAATTTTTGCGATAAAATATGTTATCCATATCAAATGTTGGTGTTGTGCTTGACCCCATCGCAACCATCATAGAAAGCACTTATCCAATGGTTAAAGATTGCATTGATGATCCCATCTATTTGAACGATAGGGCTATATTAGCTCCAACGTTAGATGTTGACTCCATCAACGAATATATATATATATGTCATCTTTTAATCAATCTGAGGGTAATACTTATTTAAGTTCTAATACAACATGCAAATCCGATGGTGGTGTTACTTTCTTGCATGACTTGCACACGCTGGAGTTATTAAATAGTATAGAATGTTTCGGTGATCCAAATCATGAATTGCACTTAAAGGTATTAGATTGTGTAGTGGAACACGCTTGGTGTTGAGAAACATTGACTATATGATTAGATTGTGTAGTGGAACATGCTTGGTGATAATGAAACTTTCCACTTACGTGTTCGAATGTAAGATTCTAACATGATCTAATGCTGGACATAAGGTATTAGTACCAAGACATTCCCTAACTTTGATCTCATGATACCCTTCAAGTTCCAACGTAGACAATTCGCTCTTATGTTTTCTTGCGCAATGACAATCAACATGAGTCAAGA